GTACAGTGGGGACTGATTTCTTCGAAATACTGTATTAGATGTAATAAAGACAGAAATTTTTCCAGTTCGACGAGAGTGACCGAAAAGTTGTAAATTTTGGAAATTTCCGTGGACAACACCTGGTCCTAAAACGAATTAGTTAGAAAACAAATGACTATTATGTTTAACATACGAGTATTTAGATTTTTACAGCTATGGTGAGAAACGTTTAAAATCTACAACAGCCCTGTCGCGTCCTTTCAGATATACTAATGATGCGACAAAAGAGGTATTTGAATTGACCGGTATCGGCACCCTGGGGATTTGGCAGTGCGTGCATGCACGCTCTGCAACCGTCTTCGATTCCATTCATTAGCCACTCGTAGGGAGCTACTTGACTAAGTGCATTGTTTTAAGATTTAAAAAGTAAAGAATATTTTATATTTTTATGTACGTTTCTTTGCAAAGCTATATTTAATTATAATTTTCTTTAAAGTATATTCATATAATTGAAGAATATTTTGTATGTACCGGTACATCCACCACATATTTTATTTCACCGAGTAAGTTTTTATTATTTTATTTTTAATTGTAGCCCTTATATCGTGGCTAGCGATTCGGAATGTAATTGTGATATTAAAAATGCATTTAGAGAAGTCTACGGTTTTTACTGGCTTATCGAATAAACGATACGAATGGACCCTAGACCATCACTGACGCGCAATTGACTGATTGCCCCTGGATGTCGGCTTCTTACAGAAACACAGCTTCCCTATAGTCAAATGTCACGGCACGCCCCTGATAGCCACGATTATTATTTTAAAAAGTTTACATTAGGCTTAACATCAACGAAAATTCAATGCAAAGCGACACGCAACGGAGAAAAATTTCAGGATGGGATAGGTTAATATATTTTTTCGTACATAATCGGTTATCCAAAAAATAAGTTATCCGAACAACCCCAGTCCCCAACTGATTTGGATAAATGACGCTCTACTGTATTTTTAAAATTTGTGGGTCTTTTATTTGTGTATTTGTATTGTTAATATGATTACTAACAATTTGGATAGAAATATAAATCAAGAAGATAAACAAAAAATTAAATTTTGTTTAAATAAACTCATAAATAACTTCATAAATAAACATTATTAACTACTAATGATTCCAAAAGTTGATAATTTTATATACAAAAAAAGATTTCAACAACTTACAATTTCATCTCCTCATGTTTACTTATAATTATTTATATAAATCATTTATTATAAACAATCTCTTAAGATAATGCTCAGAAATATAAAATATAAATATGCAAAAATATCACCAAAATCTGAACATGTTTATTACACAACTCAATATAAATTTCCCTCAAGACGATATTTCACAACTAACATTGATTTATCTTAATTCATTTACTGAGAAAATACTGAACAAATACAAATTATATTCATTTCTAATTCCTCAGTAACAGCAGATACATTGATTTTTTCTTTTATCCGAGTCTTAGTGTCATATTATTTGTTTGTGGATGGCAGTTCTCTATTTATAATCAATTTGCACACTCATAATAGTGTTGACATAATTTTGCTTGATTAGAAGTTGGCATGCAACAACAAATAAAGTTAGTTTATTTAAAGAGTATACGTATTAAAGGTTGTAAGGAAAATAAAAGCAAAACTGCAGCTATTTTAGCTTAATAGATGAGAATTTTTTTCATACTATCTTAATCTGGTTTCAGCTCAAATGAGTTTTGGGATTTTCATAGCACAAATAATATGCAAAAAACTTCAAACATGAATGCAAGAATCTATTCTAATATAAACTTTTATAAATATAACAGCTCTAAATTATATTTTAAGATTTATAAATGATAATTACAAAATTTGTAAAAATATTATACTATACTCTTGCTAATCTGACCATTCCTTGCACTGAAGTGTACCAGATTACTGAGAGTGTATAGGCCTAAAGGCAATGAATGATGTGATCAGAACCAATTCTTTTTGGAGGCAGAAGGACAAATAATATAGCATGTTTACATACAATATTGTACACAGGAATGAAAACCAAGGAATAGGAAAACAGGAGGTGTGACATTAAAGGTTTTCATGGAAACAGATGTACATAGGCAATCACACTGGTATATGCCAGATAATTGAGAGGCTGAATTAGCAAAAGTGTACTGTATTTGAAGTTGTAAATATTGTAAAATAATAAATATATTAGTATTACAAGGAAAACCTTTTATCATGTCACATTTTTGACCTAGAAAGTATGGGATAAGAGCAAAAGTTTTTCAAACACTTAACTTAGTTTAATATCTAATGTAGCTTGTATTATATTTTTGTTATTAATTATAGGTTTGCTGTATTTTTATGCTTTTTTAACTCAATAATCCTGTATTCATAAGTATAGTGTTACTATACCTATAAATATAGGATTATTGAGTTAAAAAAGCATTATATTTTTGTTTAATACATGTTAAGAATTACTAAACTTGAAATCAAAATGGCTAAGTTAAAAGAAACATTAAACTGTTTCTTCAGTTGTTGTTAATGCAAAATAACACATATGCAATGAGTGATGAATTATTGCTAAAATATAAAATACATTTCTTACTTTCAAAGAGGTTTATATTAGCAAGTTTGCACATTGGTATTTCCTTAATACTTACAAAGTTTATAAATAGTCTAACATTGAACATCATAGATAACATTTGCACAATAACTTGTTATATTTTGAAAATAAGAATGGTGATGATGATCAATTGCTCTTGATTGCTTTTTTATTATCTTAAGATCATGAAATTTCATAAATTTCTTTATCAAAGGGATATATGTTCTATCAAGTAATCTTAAATTCTAAAATTTGAATTTAAAAATACAAATGTATCAGCTTCTACCAATTTAATTATATGTAGTGTAGTATGTGTTTCTTTCCTCACTATATATTTTATAAATAATACAGAATGCACTCTTCCACAGTTCATTTCATCATTTGAAGTATCTTCTCAAACATTAATAAACTATTTATAAATATTGTTTTGTCTTTCAACATAATTTCTTCTCTTTAATAGCCATGTTTGATAAAGTGACATCAACATTTCACTACATGTAATTGTTTCTATTATAAGCAATTACTCCAGTTGGATACTGTTACAACTTTATTTTATAACTTAAGCTTACAACAAAATATTTTGCTTATACTTATATTATTATAATGATTTATAAGGTTATAACAAAAATACCAATGTGCAAACTCATTACTATGTAAAACTTTTGACTTAATTATTTCATTAATAAGTTATACACCTAAATAATAACTGAAATTAAATAAAATATAATATTGATTAATTTTTTATACAGTGAAATATTGTTGTAACAAATTTAAGAATAATGATTTGTTAAAGTAAAGAATATTTTTTAAAATATTTAAATTTTTATCTATTTAAATATATATAATATATACAATCAATTTAAATATATATAAAGTCACCATCTCCATCTTCTTTATCTAATTTATTGAGTTGTCTTTCATTAGATATTATTGCCTGACAAGCAGTTTGCAGTGCAAGGTTAAAAATATTCTTGGAACAAAGTTATTAAATCAAAATAATAAAAGTTCATTCATCTATATAAAAAAAAAAAATAAATCTATGTAACTATATGTACGGTACATATATAATCTGATGTTATACATTGGAAATGCTTTGATTATCATCTTTTAAAAAGTTTGGTGAATATAATAGTCTGTTTAAAATTCCCAATAGTACTTATCTTATGCATTAAAAACAGCAAAAATTGTTTGTAATAGGATAAAGATGATTTTAAAGAATTCTGAAATTCCATTCTCAACATACCATAGTTCTATCTCCTTCTTCTGCTTCTCCATATTTCTTCATCATATTTACTCCTAAATTTATAGCTTGGCACCAAGTTTTAGGACTGCAATCAATTTTAAATGCTTGAGCAGCACCAGTAAAGAATAATCCATATAGACCACCAGAACACCCACCCATGGACATCTCGGCACAATGCGCGAGTCTGAACAATGTTTCTTTTGGATACAATGTAGGAAATTTGTTTAAGTTACTCAAAATTTCTAAAACAAACAGATAATGAAAAATTTAAGAAATTCCTAAGGAGGAAAATCTACAATATAGATCAATAAAATATATACCTTCAGCTCCTCTTTTCAAAGTTGATCCACAGTCACCATCTCCACCTTCTTTATCTAATTCATTGAGTTGTCTTTCACTAGATATTATTGCCTGACAAGCAGTTTGCAGTGCATGGTTAAATAAATCACAGCCAACTAAATGGAATGGAATTATTACTCTTATTTCTATATGATACAGCCTTCTCATGTCATAAAAAAAGAAATCATATTATTAAACAGATAATAATTTTCTTGTGAGATGTGACCTAAGTTTCTATATTTATATTGCTTTCTTGCTAAAAATAAAGAAGCATTTAATGTATTTTTGCATACTTCTAAAATCAATTAATGGCTGCAGACTAGAAAACATAAAAGAATCAGAAAATTTAGTTAATAATAATTAATTTATATCTGCAACAATTTATAAAAATCATTATATCAATACTATGTGATATATAGTGATAATACTACAGTAAAACCTCATTAAATAAAAGTTTAAGAGGTAAAAAAAATCCTGACTGAGTTAACAAGTTTAATATCTGATTTTCTCAAATTTTTCCGTATCCATAAATTTCTCATTATCAAAATCTGATTTCTCAAGAATCTGTTCACAGAATGATTTCAAAATTGTACGCAATTTATGGCACATTTGAATTCATTGTCAAGACATGCCCCAATCAAAATGCCAGTAACATACTGTATCAGGAAAAGAAAGTTGAAGTGAGGTTGTAATGGCATAGCATCATCTTCAGCACAAAGCCATAGCATTTGTTTATCTTAATCATCTGTACTCATACTGAATATAAGAGAAAATGAAGATCAAAAACCTATTAAAAGGTAGAGGAAAATAGGTTCAAATTAAAAAGTACTGACTATTTTGATTTAAGGAGACCATATTATATGAATAACCCTATATATTGTGATTGGGACATTAGACAAATCGAGTTAACACAGTTCAACTTAGCAATATTTTACTGTATGCTTGACTAAGATGAATCTTGTTAAGAAAAAAAATACATACATAGTTAAATATAATTACTATATTTGCAGGAAAATTTCAATTGATTACACAGAACTTTGAAGACAATTTAAAATATAAAAAATAATAATCTACTAATCTTAATTTGTCATAGAAATTTCAGAAAATCTGTTTATAAAATTAGAATATACAATCCCTGAAAAAAGTTTTCAAACAGCAACAGCTATGCAAACATTATTGATTGCAAGAATTTTTTTATTTGGTAACAAAATCCTAGAGTAATAAAAATTCTGGAATTTATTTCTAATGATAACAGATTTTATTATGCAAAATATTACACTGATAAAATAATTCAGAATATAAAAAAAGAAAATCTTTCAAACATAGAAAAAAAATGAAATGAAAATTCTTTAGTACTACGTTGGGCCTCCTTTGGCCTTAATAACAGCTTTAAGTGGGATGGCACTGATTTAACAAGTTCTGAGTAATAGTTATCATTAATTTTCTTCCAACTTTGCAACAAAGTAGATTTCATTCTTCCTTTGTGTAGGTCATTTTTTATCCACTAAAATTTTCAGTTTACTCACAGATGTTCAATAACATTTAAATCAGGTTTATTTGGTGGTAAAGCTAAAAATTTAATGCTTCTCTATTTCAAAAATTCTTTTACATTTTTCAAACAATGACAACTTGCATTATTATCCTGGAAAACAACTTCTTTACCCCCAAATTAATTTTGGAATTAGTAGTTTCCAAAATTTCTTTGTACAATTTGCCATTTACAATTTCTTTTAGAATATGCAGTTCATCCAATTTGCCATTTACAATTTATTTTAGAATATGCAGTTCATCCTTGCCTTTTGCTGACAAGCAGCTACACATCATAAGATCAATTGGAAATTTCTTCTTACATAAAAGACATTCTTGTCGAAACTTTTCATCTGCTCTGTGCCATACAAATTGTCCAGCATTGTCTCTGCATCCAACACAGTCCTGTTTTCATCTAAAAAATAACTTTCTCCTAATCATCAATGGTCACTTTTGGTAACGCCTTTCCCATTCCATTCATTTTTTCATGTGTTCCTTCATTATGAATAGTTTTGTTTTGTCTTCATAAAATTTGTAGTCCATCTCATTTAACCAGTTTCAAACTGTACAATTGCAAACATCATGGTACACTTTCAATTTAATCCTTTTAATGTGGCTCTTTAATTTTGTAGCCAGATGCATCTTAAGGCACAATCTTGGTTCTTGCTTGTTGTCTTGGTTGGCCAGTTCTCTTCAATATTTTTACACTTTCAAACTTTTCATATTTCTTCCATTTATAATTTACTGTTCAAACAGCACAACCAAAAATCCAAACTTCATTCTGCATTTTTCTTCCAGAATCAGTCACAATTTGGTTTTGAAAATCCTCACTGTATTCTTTAAGAGGGTCAATTTTGAAGTAATGTAAATGCAACAATAATGGAAATAGATGTAAGTAATACTTTCATACTACTAACTTGCATAAACTAATATGATTATTGTAAGAGAAAGAGAGAGTGCTTTAACACATTTTTTTTTCTAATAGGTTCGAAAACTTTTCCAGGTGTCATAGATATTAGAATATATATCATTAGCATAAAGAACACATTAGAATAAAAGCTTATACTCTTTCTGAATTGACATTGAAAGAAATTATCTATAAATTATTATTATTTTTGAATTATTACACAATATCATTTATAGCTTAAAACTAGTTTTATTAAATTTATATTTCCGTAGAAACTTAATGTTATCATATTCTTTCTCTTCATTTAAATAATTTAACCTGTTAGAAAATATAAAAATGTTTGAACAGGAAAATGAGAGATTTTTTTTGATTTGTTATTACAGTAGAGCATCGGTTAACCGACCATTTTAGTTGGCAAATTTCAAATGTGCGCTAGTGATGTGGCACTACAATATTTGGCTATGTCTTGGTTACTTTAATATTATTTTTGTTAAATTTTTGCATGTTTTAGCTGGCAACATGGCTCGACCATTGAAGGGAGGCCAGTATTTAAACAAGACTTAATTTTCTAATTATGAATGGCTGTTTGTTTTATGAGCAATAAAATAATTTAAAAATAATTTTTAACGATACAATAGCAACGATTATTATTAAAAAAAAAAAAATTGTTAGGCTTAACATCGATGAAAATTCAACGCAAAGTTGGTTAATAGTGATATACTAATATACTAATTACATGGGATATACTAATATACTATACTAATAATGTATTTTTTTCGGTTATCTGATTTTTTCAGTTATCCGACCAACCTGAGTCCCCAATTCAGTCGGATAATTGATGCTCTACTATATTTAAGAGTTTTTGGAGTTCAACTTAAATTAAGTCATTTAATCTATTGCTAACTATTACTATTATATTATAATAAATACTTACAAGGACTGAGTTTGGGACCAAAATCTTCAGAAACTTTGCTCACAACAAAATCTGAGACAGGTTTTAGAGATGGTGTTTGTCTCACTTTGTTCTCAGGCAAAAATGATTTTATCCAAGAGGATGCTTCTGTATGGTCATCTGTTATTTAAAAAAAATGTTTTATCATTACTAATTGATTATTCACTTTATTATTACTTTTAATATAATTAAGTGCAGTACTAAACAGTCTAAACTCTTACATACCCAAATAAAATAAATCAGTTTTATCTACTTTAAAAACAGTTAGAGAGACACCGGCCATCTCCAATGAGGTAACGAAAGTTCCACAGTATACTCTAGTAACCACTGCACCAATATTTTCTACATAAAACATTTCAATTAGTTATAAACTATTCTTATTCGTGAGAGCAAGTAATTTGGCAAGACTTTAATTACCCAAATATTCAACAGCTTCTTTAGTCATAATGTTCATTTCTAATTGAGACAATCCACCCAAATTATTTACAACAAGACATAAATGATCGCCTAGAAATATATGGAACTAATAAACACATTATATTCATTCCATTATTTTATAAATATCACAAACTATAATTTTTATAAAATTAATTTATTAATATTGTATTGTCTTTGGAGAATTGATATGTAAGGTCTTTTGTTTGATTTCATAAATAATCTGTAAATTTTAAGAAAAATAAATTGTGTTTTGATTTCTTAATTAAAAAGAACATTAAAATATCTCTTGGCATTAATTAACAAACAGATTAATTATAAAATTTAATCATCATAATTTTTGTTATTAAGTTTTTGATATTATAGTGCAGAGGGTGCCACAGCACAACTCTGACCAATATATTTTTGACAGAGATGATGAGACACACACTGCGAGTCAAATGTCTATACTGACATTAGTCTTTGTCAAGTGAATTGCCAGTTCATCTGTCTTTCTTGTAGATAAAAGTAAAGAGTTAAATTATTTTTTGGGCTGTTGTCTTATTCCAGCCTTACTGTCAGGACAAAGCCACACAGACATGTCATCAGTGTGGCTTTGTTCTGATGGTCGATCTCTGTCATAGAAGAGTTAATTAGGCTAACTTACCTAACTCTTCTCATTTTGCTACATACCATGCTAAGCATAGAATCATTTTTTTCTTTTACATTATTTTCAGTGAAGACTTATTAATAGAGAGTAATAAATTTTTAATATTACTAAACTGTTTAAACCAAATTAGATTATCTTAAAAATCTTTTAAAAATTTAGGGTTTTTTTAAAATGAATTCTAGGGTCTTTGAAAAGAACCTAGAGTCAAAAGACTTTTGAATCTTGGCAACACTGAATAGAATGAATGCTGATTGATTCATTTTGACTCTCAATTCTTTGTTGAATATAAGAGTAAAAGGAATGAACTGTACATCATTTATTTATTCGTTCATCATTCAACCAAATAATACTATTTTGCTATTATGAGTCAAGAATCATTTATTCATAAAGCTTGGGACCAGAAGGGTTTTTGATTTTGGAAGATTTGTATAGTTGCATCTGATTTGATTTGATTTGATCTATTTTAGTTTCACTTGACTTCATTTTTCTTTATGCTGCTTATTTAAAAATTTTTATCATTTTTGATAAAACAAAAACTTTTCATGTGTCTATGTGAATACTTTTAAATTTAAAAGTGTTCCTAGGGTATAAATGAAATTGGGATTAAATTAAAGACACTCAACGAATATGAAAAAGTAACATCTTTTGTATATATACATACTTCTCATAAAATTTATCAACCCAGAGAAAGGGCCTGGAGACAACACTGGAATATTCTCACTGCTTTGTGGAATTTTCCATTTGTAATCTGTGTTGTGTAAACATTCAAAAAACTTTTGGATGTATGGATTCACCCCGTAAAGGATTCACAACCTGTATTACCATACTTTTAAATATAATATTAGACAAAATAATAAGTTATTTAATTTTTTTTCTAAAAATTTCAGATGATTTATTTTGTAATATACTGATACTAAACAAGAAGTAATAGAGTTTGTGCATTGATATTTTTCATTATAAAATATTTCATTATAACTTTACAAACAGCCATCATGTTATAAGAATAAGCAAAGTTTCCCAGTTTGGGGTTCGATCCCCTATGCGAATCGCTCGATGTTGATGAGAATACGTCCAGTTGGAATTTAATATCCCTTTCTTTATTTACGAATATATACAGTAATGTAGAATACAATGTATTTACAGCCCAACATCAATTGAAGGTTTAACTTGTTTGTGCTGACCGCTTGTTCTAACGTCCGTTTCCAGTAGCTGTTGGTCGGAAAGTGGGTGACCAGTTCAAAGTTCGCTTTTTTCTTTCTTTGCACCCTCTATCGTCCAAATTGGCACATTGCTGATGGGCGCCACAGCAGTATAAGCCTACACTATAAGTGTAGGCTTATATAGTATAGTCTAATATACTGGTACTAAACAAGAGGTAAAAGAGTTTGTGCATTGATATTTTTCATTATAAAATATTTCATTATAACTTTACAAACAGCCATCATGTTATAAGAATAAGCAAAGTTTTCCAGTATAAGCCTACACTATAAGTCAATCATAATAGTCATTTGTTTATAATTGGGCAGATAAAATGTAGCAAAAGATTGACATCAATTTCTCAAACATTGGCTGGCAAAGATATGTGAAACAATCTGTAGAAAATATCTGAAATCCAGTATTAATTATGTTTATTTTAGATTACACTCAAATGCCAGTTTACAGCGTAAACCAGAATGCCAGTTTACACTAGATGCGAGAAAGGTAACTTCTGGTTTACACTGTAATGACCATACAAAAAATTTTTGGGTCAATTTAATCCTTTTTTAATAACCAACGAGAGGCAGATGATATACAACACAAAGATAAAACATAAATCTTCTTTAAAATGACCAACAAGATATTATTAAAAACATGTACAGGAAAACACTTGATGTCAATCTTTTTTTGTAGGATCCGACATCAATTACTTCATACAGTACTGAAAAGTTTTTTTCAATATCAGCAAGCTTAATAATATCTTGTCATTCATTTTAAGGAAGATTTATGTTTTATCTTCGTGTTGTATATCATCTGCCTCTGGTTAGCTATTAGGATTAAATTGATCCAAAAATTTTTTGTATGGTCATTACAGTGTAAATATATAAATAATCCTGGGAAAAATATAATTATGCAGTAATTTCTGGTCTCCCTCATTTAAATCAACACGCTGCTCAATGTGTGAAAATAAATGTAATGCCTTGCAATTAAAACAGAATATTTACAGTCAATAACTTTATTTAAATTAATATTTGCTTCATTCTAAAAAATCAATATTCTAAAATTAAACTTTTTCTCTCATTCAAAAATTATTTGATAAATGAATTAAAACATACTGTGGTATTGAGTGTATGTTAGAATTTTTTCATAAAAAGATTTAATGAAGATTACAGAATAATTTTTAAATAAATAAGAGGATTATTTTAAATAACACTCATTAGCATATTAAATAATCTTCTATTAACAAGTAGATAAATATTTTAAATTCGCAATAATCTACAAAATGAGAATCTATGATGGTAATATAGATGTCCATATGCTTCTATCAACATTCATTGGGCTAAATTCTTAAGTTGAATACTATTCAGAGAAGAAAGGCATAAAGCAGCATTTATACTTAAGAATAATTTGCATAAGAACACACTAACCATATGAGATATGTGTAAACAATGCTTACACATCAATTTCTCATACAAGTAGAGTATCCTTATATGAGTTACTTGTAAGTGTACATGCCACTTTATGCTTTTCTTCTCTGAATGGTGTCACATTCAATTGTTATCAGAATTAGTAGATTTTAAAATATAATTTAAAATATTTACCAGAAGCAATTTTAAGTCGAGATGCAGAGTCTTCTCTTGTCATGTGATTAAACATTATATGAACAACTTCTGAAGCAGAACAAACCTATAAATAAATTAAATTACAGACATTTATTAGATTTAAATTCACTACTTTGAATATACATTTCTTCCTTCTAAATTATACTATTTAAATTTATATCAAAATTATAGTTTGAAATAAAACTATAAAGCAATTCAATATAATAAACTAACAAATAATGGAGGTATTTATGATAGCAAGCTTTTCTCACATTCAGAAGAGCTGTATTCCGTGAAAGCTATGAATTATGAACAAGCATTCTTGTTCATAATTCATAGCTTGATGGAACAATTTGCAATCCTTATTTTATCTTTGTCGAACTACTTTATTGGTTGGTATCATGTTTTTTCAGGAATTCTTTCTGCCATTTTTTAAATCACAAAACAACTGTGATCTCTCTATTGGAAAATTTCAATAATCAGCAAATGTTGCTTCTGTAGAGCAACATTCACTGAAAAAACCCCAAGAACTTTTTGAAGAAAAATAAACTTTAAACAATTAATATTTTAAAGTAAAAATAAAAATTAAAAATATTTACTTTTAACCTTGAAATTCCTGCTTCTCCATGTATTCCTATAAAAAAAATTTATCAGTATATTGTATCAAAAATTATACACTCTTCTACATAATGCTTAACAAACATTACCTAAACCAAGTTCCATTTCATCAAAATTTATTTTGAATAACTTTCCACTACTTGGTGTGCTACACGCAGAAAGACTGATTCCAATTGTTCCTGAAAAACAGTTTCTAGTAAATTAACAAGCCAAACATTTAAAAAAAATCAAATTAATTTAAATAATAAGAGAATTCAAAATTAATAAAAATATTATTATTCAGATTTTGTTTATAATAAAAATCATTTAATAAAACAGTTTTTATCCAGGACACAAGTATAAACTTTGAAAAAGATTTTTGCTATTGCCAGAGGGAACTTTGTAACATTTTGTATGTTGAGGCAGAGAAGTAACCTCCAAATAAAGGTCATCTCTACCATCAAATTCTTATTTCCTAATGGTGTATGAAGGGACAACAAAACAGGACACTTTTAAAGATCATCCAATGAAAATTTTCTTTGTAAAATTTTTTCAAAGTTCAAAAATCATTTGTTTGAAATTTAAATATTAATTAAAAGTATAAAAATCAGTAAATATAATCCCACACATTAACAAAACTATTCAAATATCTGCTTGACCAAAATTTATCTGTTAGATATAAGATAACAATAGAGAACAGATACTGATTGCTGCTACCACAGCCTGCATGAGATGTTGATGTGTTTCAGCTGAAATTATTTTCCATTCTCTATGAGAGCATTACTGAAGTCAAACTCTAAAACTGGACAAATGCTTGGGTCTTGGTTGGTGCAAAGATATTCAATGAAATTCCAATCAGATTTCTGTGAAAGCTAGTCAAGTTGTTCCATCTTAATTCCTTTAAACTATTCTTTTACAGATGTTATTTCTTAGGCAAGAGCAATGTCATTCTAATATAGAAAAGTCTCTCTGCAAATGTCTTCACAGAATATTAAGCATATCCAGAATCAGTTTAAATAGCATGAAAAGTTTGCTTCATGAAATAATCTGGTCTAGGCAAAACAATGAATAACCAACCCAGATCATAGTGCCTCTGCTGTAAATCTTCACAGTTAGTATATACATAAAAAATTATTCTCCTGGCATTTTCCAAACTCAGACCCATCCATCAGTTGCCAAATGGCAAACCTTGATTCATCAAGCCTCAGAACTTGTTTGCATTGCTTGAGAGCTTAACGACAATGAAGTTATCACCATTCTAGCCTACACTTAGCATTAATTGCAGTGATCTGAAGCATGAAAGTGATCCTATTCCAACACAGATGCTTCTTTGGATATATTTTACAATCATATGTTACCTTCCGCAACTAAAATGCATGACATGACAATCAGAGCCATATCCAATAATAAAATAGGATGGCCAAATGTAATGTATATCAAAGGTACCCAAGCATTTCAATTAATGGATCAAGTTGTATACAAACAGTAAGTAGACTCCATAAAAATGACCAACCTATGTATATAAAAAAATATTTTCTGAAGAATGCATATTATTTTTATCTGTAAGATTATGTGAAGTATTCTTTTCTTAGATTTGAAGTAACAAAGACAAGTTAAGCTATATTAGGGAATTATAGTTAAATTTATAAAACTAAATTTTTTTATAATTTATAACAAATGTTTCAAATATCTTTACAGGATGGCTGGTTGGCTGAGCAGTTAAGAATGTTTTTGAACTTTTTTCTAACAGTGGAACTCTAACTTGGTAACTTTTTCTTGAGGCACCTGTACTTCTTCATCAATATAGAGTTATTGCTTTTTCTGTAGTTTTAGTAATTACCATAAAAGGTATTATGGTGTTGCTCAACACTATATTTCACAGTACCTTTAAAGTTCACTGCAGCACTTTTAGTGTTCTGTGATACCATTGAGTGAAGATGTCAGCATGCTGCTTTAGGGACCCAGGAATGAATCCTGTCAGGTCAAAAATCCCCATGAATTTTTCATGGGCAGTCCATCTCATATGTTAGGTCTTATTCTTCACCTGGCCACTGCAATGTAGACTTGGCCAAACCTATGATGGGCTTAATAAACAAGTCCTCTTAGTGCACAGAACAGAAAGAGTAAAAAAAAACTTAAAGTTAGAAATTAATACACCATAAAAAGAAAGAATTAAATGGGCAAAATATTAAAAAAATGATTATAGTTCTTAAAAAGAAATAAATTATAAATGCAGTTAGAGATAGTCTCATTTTTGATATATTTTTTTGAAAACATTTTCAAAATGTCCATGTTTAATCCTTAGAAAAAATAAACTCCAGCACATTAAAGCTTGCATTTTTTTAAAACTTACACAGAAAAATAATTAGATAATACAAAATGTCCAAAAAGTTACTAAGTGAAAGAAGTTTTATTAAAAATTAAATTACATAAACTATTGCATTTTCTCCTACAGCAAATGCTGAAAATTTACCCCAAAGGCCCGAAGATACATCTGCACTTGACACTCCACATTGTAAAACACATTGTGGAGGATGACAGGAGTGATCTGTTCATTGGATTGAGTAATTGCCATCTTCAGTTCCAGTGTATGGATTGTTCTCATACAGCAATCCCTTCAGTGCACCCCAAAAATGCTGCAAAGTGGAAATGAGTGATGCACAATTTACAGGTGTTGTGCAATACCATACGTATATGATAGCTTAACTTCAATGTCACTACAAATTTCTCACTGCATAGTAACTTTTCAAACACATTGTATAAAACTTTAACAAGTAACATGTCAGAAATTAAATGTTTAAATAATAAGTTATATATTTTACTCAATACCATAAAAAACATACCCATTTCAGATAACTTTCTAGTTAGGGCTGACTTTATTTCGCAAAGCGATCGACCTTCTTCCGCCATAGCTCCAGCAATCTACAATATGGATATGAAATTATTATTTCAATTATAAAATATAAATCAAAATCAAATCAATTGTTATCAAATAATTTTTAAAATATTCAACATGTTTATACTATTTTTATAATACTTATTATTTTTTTAAAATCAAAATAAATAAAAACCAAACTACAAAAATCTTGTATGTAGAAATTAATATAACATAAAATCATTTTTCATAGTAAAAAAAAAAAAAAGAAAAAAATTTAACATTCTCTATACAGTAGAATCTTGCTAATTTGGATTCAAATGCACATCAGATGGTACCTTATTTAAAATCAAATTTTATTGTGCTCTTCAAACAAACAATACAGTGGCTTGTTAAGCTTTTACAAAAGAAGTTTGCAAAAGAAATAACAGTATTTACCAATTTGAGCTTAAAAATAATCTAATTTTTGTTTGCAATTCCTTTTCTAACTGTTCCTTAACCATATCTCAACTCATCTGTCTAACAATAAGGTAATAGTTGTTAATGCCAGAATTAGAATCAACTGATTCATTATTTAAAAAAATACACAATGCAAAATAGCAGACATTAGAAAGAAACTCAAAAGGGTAAAAAAATTAGAGATATTTATACAAATTAAGCACTTTTTGGAATTTTCAAACCCCTCTTTGGATCAACAACATTCGATGTTCTGACAATTCAAATAGAACAACCATTTGTACATAATTTTTTGAATTCAATTGACCAAAATTACAAATTTGAACACTTCTTTAACAAATTAACAGATATTTTTAAATTAACAATTATTTGAGGTACAGTATAACAACAAGCATAATAAACATGAAATAATAATGTCTGTGCATAAACTAAGAAATAAAACTAAAATAAAAAGCAGATAAAGTAATGTAACAATTAAAAATTATAAAGTATAAAAATAAAATAACAGTAAATAAAAATGCATAGATAATTCAGTAGTATGCACAGACATTTAAGAGTATTAAAACCCAATGTGAAACATCAGTCCAGTCTACTGAAGTTTGTACGATACAAATAGCCAAGACTTGGCAGAAGCTTAACCTAGAGCTTAATGTCCAAATATCGAATGTTGTTGATCTGAAGATGAGATTGAAAATCCCAAAAAGCACTTAATCCAAATAAATATCCTGACTCTATTAACTTTTTTTGACTTTCTTTATAACATTTATACCTATGAAGTGTCTTTTCCAGGCTTGAGCAAATGATAGTCTGAATTATCACATATTCCAAATTAGTGTTCTACTGTAATAAAATTTTAATATGATTGCCCAACATCCCAATTTGGAATGCTTCATCCCTATTGGAAAATTTTTCCCAAAATGTCCTGATTTGTTCATTTCCACAAAAAATACTCTGATTTGTGTTTAAAAAAAAATCAAATAAGAAGTGTAGGCAATAGGTGTCATGTGCATGCTGTCTCACAATCTCATATTCACACATCTTTGGTACACATATTGTGTTCTGTGGCTCTGTGAAGTATTTCATGATGGCTTCAAAACTATTTATGGTTTCATGCAATCATTGACAATAGATCAATCAATGGTCAATTCTGACCATAGTCTAGTTTTTTTTTTTTTGCTCTTTTTGCCCTGTGGACAGTAAGAGAACCTTTATATTTAATCATATCCATCCTGGATTCAGGCAAGTATATACACAATGGAGCAACTAGATTAGCTAACAAAAACTTAGTTGAAATATGTAAAATAATAAAAAGTGTTCAATAATTGATAATTTAATTAGAATTATTCACTTATTTTCCAGAGTAGCCACTCCCTACCTAATACTGGGTATCCATCAATCTTTATCACAATGCTACCTCACAGTGTCCCAATTTCTGGTTTTTGAACTAATAGCAACTAATTTTAATGTATAAAGTTTCAATTTAATTATGCAGGAATGTTTTAAAACACTTATCAAACACTGGGTATGTTCATAAAATAAAACAAGAATGATGTCATTATTCTTACTTTTGCTAGACATTTTGACAAATTCATTTAAAAAAAATGGCTGTTTCTAAAGTTGAATGTTGTTAGTGAATTGTATCTGAAATGTTTTTCTCAGATTTCTTTGCATGGGCATTAATTTGCATCATTTCACCTTTTAATCCACAATTTGTACACTTAACTGAATTCAGAAATATCAATTTCACCATATTTTCTTCATGATTTGAACTATTTCTTACCTTTGTGAATTTTGTTAGAATTTCATAATTATCATCAACAAGAGCATGTATACTGAGCAAAACTAGTCTTGTTAATTCATCTAACTCATTTGATTTTATGAAAATATCCATTATTAACACAACTGTTCTACATTAGTACACAATTAATGCAAATAATAATCATTTACATTACATATTAATGTAATGATATAGAATTTGAATAGAGAATATGCTAATGCATTGATTGAACAAGTAAAAACATTCATAACATTCTGTTTTCTAGAATACTTTTCTAAAGGAAAGTAACAAATTAACATTAAAATTTAGAATGAATTTATAGAATTTAGTATTATTTTTGTATCACATTTTGATACAATATAGATGTTCCAGTTTCATTTCAAATATCAGAGTGTAAATTGGAAATATTCTTCTCTCTTAAAAGAGGAAGTTAGTGTTTAGACTAAAACTAAGAACTTATCAAAAATAAGTAAGAAAGCTTCTGATATTTCTATAAACATTTAGTCTTAATGTTCTACAAGCTTCTGAAAACATAAAGCATATTCTTTTGATTAGTGAAGTCACTGCACTACATTTTTGAATCTCTTCATCACTTAAAAAACATTTGTCATCCAAGTGTTCATTTAATAATTTAAAAAAATGATCATATAGTCCGGATCCTGCACTGAACAATTATCTTCTTTTCAGATCTAAAAGAACACTTGTACTGCAAATGTTTTTCAAGCAATGAAGATATACAGAAACATGTGCTGCAAACTCCAACAATCAAAAGAGTTTCATACAGCATGTTTTCAAAGCTGGCAGAACATAAGGATGAGTGCCTAAATGTTTATGATAATTTTGTCAAAAACAAAATGTTCTATGTTAAGATATTTTCTTGCTTACTTTTTGGTATTTATTTGTAAACTAATTAATGATTCCTCTCATATATATTGAATGTCTGTTATTATTATTTATCATTGAACATAATCAATTATTATCAATGTTATCATACATTCATTGTTTTGTCTATTTGTTATTACTGAAGATATTAATATTGACTCATGAAAAATTGATTGTAAGTTTGGATAGTCAAGGATTATCTGTGTATCCATTATTTTTTTATATAAATATGTATAAAAAACATAACAGTAACATAACATAACTTAAGTGTAGAAAATAAAACACTGAACTCTTAGAATTTTTAATTATAGCTTCAGATCATTTATTCAAATAAAATTTTATCCTGATTTTTAAAAAATTGTTGAATGTTTTATTTTTCTGTTTAAATTAAATGAAAATAGAATTTTTGAGTCAATGATTATATAAAATTTATTAGTGAATAATGATGTAAATTCAAGTTTCACCCTTATTTAGTATGAATATGCAAATGTTATGATTTTGAGAGATTACTTTTGATTCATTTTCACATAATTTAATAGATATTTCAGGCTGTTATACAAAATATTAATTCTTTTAATCTGTTATTATAGAATGCAAATAATTAGTTTGGTTCATAATATCTTTGACTCTACCTTGAAAATTCATAATATTAAATTCAGCATTCTTCAAAACATACTTTATAGATTAAAACAGCACCACATAGTCCTCTTCTTCCTGCCGTCTTGTCTTTACTAACTAAGGCACAATCTTCATTGACAATGAACGTATCAACCAACAAACCCTCAATTTTGGCACGTTCAACTGCCAATCCAAAATTGAGTCTATCACCTGTATAATTTAGCAATATAACCAGTGTGCCAGCTGTTTAAGAAAAAAAAAATTATAATTAATATTAAATAAATAGCACTTATTGTGTAGAATATTCATAAATTATCTATTATGATAAAGTTAATTTTAAAAATTAAGTTTATCATCATAATAAAATATTAAATTATTAATAAAATAAATAAAATGAGCAATTATTTATTGTGACATCGTCACAATGTCGAGCTGCAATTTTTAATCATATTTTTAATTAATTTCATTTGAAATATATTCTTTCCACCTCAGATTAGTAGTGACTTGCCCCTGTACATCATACTTTTCCTTTAACAATAGAGTAGTGCCAGTCATTTATCTATCAATAACACCTTTCAAGAGAAAATTTTTTAATTGAAATAACATGACTTCCGGTTTGAACTGGATGTTCCTATATAGTTAATCAAGACCTCTTGCTCCTAAGGTTTCCACATCTGCATCTGGTCTCATCTTTAATCTATCTAACTCTGTTCTCAAGGTTAAGGAAAGACAGATGGACAACAGTGAACTTTATAGATTTACAATTTTTTCAAATTGCAGCCCAAAAATTTAAAAATTACAATTGTAGAATGATTACTCTATAATTAACTTTAAATAAATAAGTTATATACTGCAGGGGTCTTGTTACTTAGCACCAAAATCAACATTTGACGATGTTTTTTTTTTAAGGCAGCAATAAAAATATAATACTGGCAATAGCAAGTGGCAATAAAAACCCTAGTCTGCTTATTTTGATATTCAGCATAAAATTGAATCACAAATCACACTTTGGGAAAAATAGCAAAATGTCGAGCTACCATACAATGGAAATCCCATGCACCACACACCTAGCAATTTCACGATATCACGTGGCAAGTTCAAGAAGAAAATAGGAAGTGATGTTGCAAACCGAAGGAAGTTTTGTGCAATACTGCCCAGTGTTTCCAGAGTGGGAATTTTTTTTTTTATTGAGCGACAGAAATTTTGGGATGACTTTCCAGATACCAAACTGATAAGACTACTGGCATCTATATTAATAAGTAAGTAAAACTGATGACGATAGATAACTTAAAGTGGCAAAAACAATTAAAACTGGTGAAATGGTGGATATTTTTAAATTTTCCATAGCATTCCCTGTATATAATCGAGACAGGTTGATAATGATAATGATAATAATAATAATAAGCACAGAGCCCAAATGGTTAGGAGTTGAAAGTTGAAATTTGGTACACAGTTAGGGTTTGTCACGAAAACACATACTAAGAAGGGATTTTTCGAAATTCCCCCCGGGGGAGAGACAGGATTAAGGTTTCGACAATGGAAGTGTTAAGTAACAATGGCAGTGTTAACAATGGAAGTGTTAAGTAACAATGGAAGTATCAACAATGGAAGTGTTAAGAATGGAACTGTCAACAATGGAAGTGTTAAGTAACAATGGAAGTATCAACAATGGAAGTGTTAAGAGAAAGCGATGTGCAAGATTTACAGGCACAGATGCAGTTTTTTCGTTTTTGCGGGAAATCGAACATTTTTTTAACCCATCTAAAAATTCTCTAATTAGTCTGGAAACAGTGGGACCTAATTCTTGCATTCTTTGAAAAGGGTAAGATTGACTATAACGTAATAATCTTAATCTTCACTATCGTTACTTTTTTCCCAGGCAACACTGGGCTCATCAGCTAGTATAAATATATTGTATACTGTGTATCATTAGTGCCATTTACAGCATTGGAAATGCAACATTTCTTGAAAGTGTGTCACACAACTTTTTTTAAAATTTTCAGCCTAGTGCATATGACGTTATTGTAATTGACTAATGAGATTGAACTAAACTGTGCTCAAATATTTGCTATTACAGATATTGATCTAATAAAATCATTAAAGTGACATACTCGAATTAGTGATCTCTATCGACAGAGAAATAAGATGCATGGTACTATAGGTTGCAAATTATGATATATTATGTAGAATCTAAGATGTACCCTATTTTCAGAGATACTGAAACCTGAATAAAAATGTCTCTAACATAAGTCTTTCTACCACAATGGAGTCAACTAAATAGAAAGGGACAGGACCAACATATCCTGGATCATAAAAATCTCTGTTGATAGAGGTCACTAATTCCAGTACGTCATTTTAATAATTTTATTAGATCAATATCTGTAATAGCAAATAATTGAGCATAATTTAGTTCAATCTCATTAGTCAATTACAATAACGTGATATCCACCAGGCTGAAAATTTCAAAAAAGTTGCGTGGCACACTTTCAAAAAATGTTGCATTTCCAATGCTTTAAATGGCACTAAGGATAATTGCATATGGGAAAATTTAAGTATCAAATCCAATGTTAATTCAGAAGAGCCTAACATGGAAGTGAAGAGGCTTTTGACTGCTACCATAAAAAACAGTATTATATAGTTTACTTTACCATGTAATAAGTACTAATTTGATCAACATAAATTTGTCTCAACTTGTCTATTTACAAAAAATCCATCAGTGAACTTGCAGAAATTAAGATTTGTTTTAAATTCAATAAATACAGCATTTTCTTTTTGACATATATTGCTTCTATAAAACTGCAAAAAGAAAAACTGATATACACCTATCCTCTTTTTATGCAGTTTTGAAATAAAGCAGTAGACATAAGAAAACTAACTCTCTTTTTATGCAAAGGAAATTTTCAATTTTCAAATAAACTTTTTACATGAAAAAAATTTATTCATAAAATACTGTATGTTGATTTTATGCTTCCTATGTTACCTTGTGTTTACTATATTTACTTACAATTAATGTTAATGATAAATGATGTTAGAATAAAAAAATCATGTTTCTTTTGTAAATTGTTTATTTTTTCATTCCATTGAAGTTCTGAATCCTATTAAGCATTTTTCTACTGGATGCATGTACAGTACCTTTTTATGTAATTTTTGTTTTACCAGGCATTCTTTGAAATGTATCCACCATGCAAATACAGGGATAGGTGTAATATATACAGTACTAGCTTACCCGTCGCGCATTGCTGCGATCTCAGAAGAAATGAAATTCAAGCAAACTCGTTATGATAAAATTAAATTTACATTTTATCATTTCTATTGAAACTTATTATTATTATATTATTATTATCATTTTCATCGGGAAAACATTTCAAAGTGTCGTTTCAATTCTATTTATTTATTAGAGTGCTTGTGGATACACGATATTTTTTGTTTTTCCATCTGGCGCGTACACGAATAAATCAGAAGGTTTTCCGATACGTGAGCTGGCCACATACAGTTGTCCATGTGAGAAGCACGGATTCTTTAAATTTAGCCCACATACTCGCAGAGATTGTTAGAAGTGCGATATTCCCCATTTTTATATATATTTTGTAATCCTTTATAATTTTGATTATTTAATTGCTCCTTCCTCTCTTCCTTGGCATGCTGTAAAATTTCTGATAGTTGGATAATAAACCGTTTTATTGTAATTTGTCTTTTTAAATTATTTTGAGTTGATATTAAAATTTGGAAAAGGGGGATTCCTAGATCGGTAAAATAGGCGAATTTCCTTCTACAACTTCGGTTGTTGTTCATGATACAGTTAAGGCTTTAACAAAGTTCGAGCGATTATGTAATTAGCCAAAAAAAAAAGTTGAAATAATGTGATTAAACAAAAATTATTACAAATATCGTAAATAACAAATGCATATATAGAGATATTTTTTGGAAGCAGGGAAATGGTCTTCACAATTTGAAATCGATTGAACACACAGAACAAACAGTGCTCGTATACACGCGCGCCATCTATCGTAGGATAAATGTACTATGCCAGAAACATTCGCGGGAGTGTATTAAAAAACTTTCCAAAGTTTCGTGGCGATCGGATAAATGGTGTGGTAATGCATGAAGGACACACACACACATTCATTTTTATATATATAGATAAACTAGCTTACCCGTCGCGCATTGCTGCGATCTCAGAAAAAACGAAATTCAAGCAAACTCGTTATGATAAAATTAAATTTTCATTTTATCATTTTTATTGAAACTTATTATTATTATTCGTTTTCATCGGGAAAACATTTCAGAGTGTCGTTTCAATTCTATTTATTTATTGGAGTGCTCGTGGATACACGATATTTTTTGTTTTTTCGTCTGGTGCGT